CTTGTGTGTGAGAGTGTGTGTGTGTGTGAGTGTGTGTGTGTGTGTGTGTCGTGAACCCCGCACTGATCAGCGCGTGAACGCACGTACCGGACAGGCCTCGTCTGGGCAGGTTTCTCCGGTAATCTACGGGCCCGTATCCTCCGGTGGGAGGCATGTCCTGCTTCACCTTGGACGCCGCCATCGTTCCGTCCAGCGCCGCTCCGCTCGCGTCTTCTTCGGCTGCGGCGAGTGCGGATCCGCGCTGCTCTCCGGCGCCTCCAACGGATCAGCGCAGCAGGGTTCTTCTTCTTCTTCTTCTTCTTTTAAATTTAATGGCGGTTGGCAAACCAACTTAAATGGTGCATTCCCGCCACCTACTGGATAGGAGTGTGGAGCGCATAATGATTGTTAGTTTGAGAACTATAGCCAAAAAAATTAAAATAATAATACACCGCCAATTATTCCCGCTTTATTTACTACAACTGTATCCTAAATTCTATTTATCAGTCTTTTTTCTTTTAAGAAAATAATTAATTCATGAAATATTCTTGATTGCTTTGGGCCATTTCCTAACAGAACCTGAAGTGACAAATTATTTATTACGATCCTAAAGCTTGAATTAGTTGAAATCTTGCTCCTTCATATGCATCACACTCTATAAGTACATGTTCTACTGATTCTGCATGACCACATTGATCACAGCTTCCAGTTTCATGCTTCTCCATTCTATACAGACACTGATTTAACAAACAATGTCCAATACGCATTCTTGACTTTAAATCGTCTTCTTTCCTCTTGCCAAACTTTCTTCTTTCTAGACCTACCTTCTCTTGAATATGATGCAAGTGTCTGCCTTTTATTCCACTATCCCACTCCTTCTGCCAGTTCTTTCCTATTTCATTTGCAATGAACCCCTTTACTTCTGCTTTACTCATTCACACTTTAATGTCAACCTGTGCATGTTTCAGAGCTTGTTTAGCCAGACGCTCTGCCTCCTCGTTTCCTTCCACACTCATATGTGATGGAACCCACAGGAAGTTTACTATTATTCCAGATCGTCTTATTCTGAATAAACTCTGCATCACTTCAAATATCATATCTTGTCTTGCTGTTGCAGTTCCACTTAGCAAGCTATTTAACACTGAAAGGGAGTCTGTGCAAATGTCTGATCTTATTGGCTGTACTTCATCTATCCACTGAAGAGCTAGGAATATTGCTATTGTCTCTGTAGTAAAAACAGATATATGATCTGAAATTATTTTTGATACTTTGACTTTGAATTGGGGTGTGTAGACTGCTGCTGCTGTTATTCCAGATTCAGGATCTTTACAGCCATCCGTGTATATTTGTACGGTGCTATAATAAGTTTGTTCACTGCACTGCTATATTTGTAAACATACTTCTTTCCTTGTTATGTTTTTCTTCATATAGCTGAATCAACTACAGGCAAAGGGAAAAGCCAAGGAGGAACTGCTGAAGTTGCCACAGAAGGGGCTATTGATGTCCCATATTCTGTGCCTCCTCATTAGCAGTCCATCCAAAGCTTGATAGTTTATACTCATATTCCCAGCAATCCTTCAGAACTTTCTTAACTGGATAACTATCTAAGTGTCCTTTTATATTAATCCAGTATCTCATCTTTAACTTGAGCCTTCGAATTTCCTGAGGCATTTCATCCATCTCTACTTGTACTGCTGCTATTGGAGATGATCTTATTGCTCCACAACATATTCGCAGTGCTTGTGATTGAATTGCCTCGATCTTTAAAAGTTGTGTTTTAGATGCCGAACTGTACACCATACTACCATAATCAATAGCTGCTCTTATCAGTGCACAGTATATTCTTTTAAGAGACTGACGACATGCCCCCCATTCAACACCTGCCAAGCACCTCATTACATTTATTGCTTTTTTACCTTTGTCTACTATTTTCTGAATATGAATTCTAAAATCCAGTTTTGAATCCATCCACATTCCCAGAAATCTAATTACTGACACCTGCTCCAATTTTTGACCATACATTTTAATATTCATAATTGGATTGATTTTCCTTTTTGTAAAACAGATTACCTGAGTTTTTGCTACAGAGAAACAGAAACCCCATTCATTAGCCCAATTCTCAACTTTTTTAACAGCATTCTGCATACACTTCTCCACATGCCCCACATTGCGCCCTCTTTTCCACAGCGCACCGTCATCTGCATACAAGGACCTTCCTATCCCCATGTCTATCTGTGTAAATATATCATCAATCATTAGCTTAAACAGAACAGGACTGCTAACACTGCTAATCATTGATACACACCAATCCTCCCCAATCTTCTATGATCAATCCATTGTAATCTGTGTTAGTACTCCCCCACAATGTGCTGTGTGCATTAAAATCACCACACCACACCACTTTATGACTTCCATTTCCTCCAATATTTTCTAGCTTATCCTTGCTTAATCTGTCACATGGATTGTAAAAGTTAATTATTCTAATACTCTGTACTCCTTCCCATATTTCAACCACTACAACCTCTTGCTCCCCATTTACCTCAACTGTTCTATACCCAATATCTTGTTTAATAAACGTTGCTACCCCACCACCATTTCCTTTACATCTATCTCTTCTGACTGTAATGTATCCATGAATTAAAAAATTTAATTGCGGTTTAAGCCACGTTTCTTGAACACATATGTCAGGACTATTTTCTTGATTTGTTTCCATATCACCCAGTCCTAATTTTATGTTATGTAATTTTAATGTTTCAACTCCAATCCATGTCTTTAAAGAGTATTTTTCTCTTGCAAAGTGCAAACTTTACACGTTTATCCAGTTTGTTCTTATATCATTCACACTGATTTATACATTTTACTCCTAAAAACCTGGCGAAAATGTGTTTGTTTTCTGTCTGTTGACTATTATTCTGATGAGAAAAACTATGTTTGCAAACCACACTTAAACTAAATATTTCACCTATTTTTGGAGGCTCTTGAAGTGAGAGACGCTCTTATTTTTGTCCTGCAGATGAGCTAAAGCCACAAAACACTAATTATGATTAAAACACATAATATGAAACACTGGAAGTGAATGAAGAGGTCCAGTCAGAATGAAAGGGTTAAAACGTTTTATTACAGGAACAAATAAATCTAACAAACTGTAACTTTGTACATGTTGCAGGAAGCAGACGCATGCTGCTGCATCTGTCCGTAACCATGGAAACACGACGTTGTGACATCATCATCATCATCGCACAACAAAACAAACCTGGACTGTTGGATGGGCGGAAACATGAACATGATCAGTTTTAAACCAGAGCCATGAGAACAATCTGCCTTCATCATCATCATCATCATCCTCATTATAAACACTGATGCTCTGCACCAATAATCTGCAGCTCATAACAATCTGAGCATACTTATGATCTTCTAAACCAATTATGAGTGGAATTACTTCAGAAATGCTACATATCGAGAATCAGCTGCATGGAAATACAAACAATATAATTACAGTGACTGCAAAAAAATATTGACAAACGCATAAAACTTCAACAGACTCCACACTCAGACATGGTTCAGAAGAAAACTAATTAATTTAGAGTGACTCTGAATCTATGAGCTGAAAAATAAAATGTTTGTGGAAGAACAAACGTCGTCAAACACACACATACACACACACACTTACGTAACGAAATAAAACTAAGCCGTAACAGCAGCACACAAAGCGTCTCTGGTGTTTTTGGTAAGAAGTGAAGTGACGATCAGAGCCCTTGAGAGAAGAAACCTGCAGAAACCGGATGAATCCAGAACCTGGTTCTACTTCCAGGAGTTTGCGGTCTGTGAGACGGAGCGAGATGAGATCATGTCCAGCAGATACTCCCTGTGACGCTCCACCGGCTTCTGGACCGACAGACTGGGGTTCACATAGGCCATGGTCACGCCTGAGAGAGAGAGACAGAGAGAGAGTGTGTGTGTGCGTGTGTGTGTGGTGTGTGTGAGAGCGTGTGTGTGTGTGTGTGAGTTTGTTATAATAAAAAAATATAAATAGTAGATCAATAACTTGAACTTATTTTAGTCCTCATTTTCATTTACTTCAAGTTGAAGCACTAAAATGACTAAAAAGAAATAATAATTAAAGAAACCCATAAATCTAATGAAAATGACTAAAGAGCTTTCTAGATAAATAAATACAACAAAAATAAAAAAAATAAAAGCTAATTCAAAATATGAATAAAAACATATTTCAGTTAGTTACCAAGACAACTTTTCAAATTTTTTCCTTTGGTTTAAGTTGAAGCATTAAAACTACTAACTGGAAATAATATATATATGAAAACTAATAAAAACAACAAAATTACATAAAAAAACAAAAAAACTCAAATTAAAATGAGAACCGAATAAAGAATTTAAGTTAGTTGTTAATGTAACATTTTTAAATAAAAACTAAAACTGAACAAACTTAAAAAGTAAACCTAAATAGCAATAAAAAAGATAAAAATGACAAAAACACATCACAAAATTACTACATATTGTAACTAAAATGAGAAGTAAAACAAAAACAAAGAATAAAAATAAAAGTTCATTCAAAGCACTAACTGAATCTATATAACTAGCAGTAGTAGAGCGAGTTCTGCAGAATCTACCTGCTGCGCTGCTGCTCCGTTTCCTCACGCTGCTGCTGCTGACCTTTGACCCCTGACGCTCTGCATGCTTACCTGGCCTGCTGACCAGAGCGGCGGCCGCCACGGCGTTCTGCAGCTGAGAGGACGGGGAGAAGGCGTGAGGAACGACGCGTATCGCAGACGGCTGCACGCTACGAGCCGACGCACTCGGAGACACCTGGAAGAACAAAAACCTGCGTCAGTCACGCTGAAGAGCCAGACTGACCTCAGACCGACCTCAGTCTCAGACAGATCGCTGAATTCAAGCAGTGGATCTCACAGCGCTGTTTAGTGCTTGCGTAACCGAGTAAACACATCTGCTCTAGTGAGCTCGCGCCGCGTAGTTCGAACTTTGATCCGAGCGGATAAACGGTCTGTGTGGCGCGATTCAAATTAGTCGCGCTGTTTCGTTCCGCTTTTGGCGCATAAACATTAGATCGAACATTTATCAAACTCTTCATATCGTTTTAATCGAAGAAAATTATTTTGCGATAATTATCGTTATCGAACTATCGCCCAGCCCTACCTCAGACCGACCTCAGTCTCAGACTGACCTCAGACCGACCTCAGTCTCAGACTGACCTCAGACCGACCTCAGTCTCAGACTGACCTCAGACCGACCTCAGTCTCAGACTGACCTCAGACCGACCTCGAGGACCTCTACAGCCCTGAAAAACAGCGGAGACCAGGACAACTAGATGAGCCCCAGATACAGATCCCCTGTAAAGACCTTGTCTCAGACGACCACCGGGACAAGACCACAGGAACCAGTTGAGTCCTCTGCACAATGTGACTTTGCTGCAGCCTGAAATTAAACTGCTGGCTTCGTCTGACCAGAGGAGAACGGAACACTATTACGACACACTATTTCCCTGTTTAATACTGTAAAGCTGCTTTGACACAATCTGCATTGTAAAAAGCGCTGTATAAATAATGTGACTTGACTGACCTCAGACTGACAGATGCACAGCTGCGACGCCTCACCTGTTTGACGGCTGCAGTGGAGCGGCTCACGGTCTGAGCTGAAGATGAGGAGCGCGCTTTGACCTGATCGGCCTTCATCCCGTGAGCAGAGGAGGAGGAGGATGAAGAGGCAGGGGGCGTGGCATGCTGCAGCACTCGCTGATTGATCTCCCGTTCCTGCTGAAGCGCCTTGACGAATGCCACCTTCAGCCGATTGGTGTGTTCGGCTTTCAGCAGCTTCTTCTGATTGGACGACATGCACTGCTCACACATGACGGCTCCGCCCTCGTCTCGGCGCCAGCGGCAGGTGAAGTCCGTCTGACACTGAGAGCAGCAGCTCGGCTCTCCAGCGCTGACCACCAGACCGGCGTACAGACCCTGCTTACCTGACACACACACACACACACACCGGTCAGAACATCAGCACATCAGATCATGTTAACATTCTAACAGTACATGACACTTACTGTGATGTTTGGTGTCTAATGAGACTCAGACAGAAAGTAAAACAATCCTGCAGTGCTTCTGTATCTTTACAAACTCTCATTTATATTGTGCCGCTATGAAAATAAAATCTCAGGACTGTTCTAACACGAGCTGCTCATCTCTCATCACTTCAACTCCATACTGAAAATATGGTATAAAAAAAATAAATAATAGAAAATAATAAAATAATATTGCAATATAATAAAATAATAATGGCAATAATATGAAAATAAATATGAAAATGTGAAAATAAATATGTATATGAAAATAATATAAATAACATAAATATGAAAATAAATATGAAAAATATATAATATTGCAATATGATCAAAATAATATGAAATAATACAAAATGATTATAATAAAAAATAAAAATGCTAATAATAATATAAAAAGAAATATAATATTTCAATGTGATGATAATAATAGCATGATATTGTAACATTCTAAAAATAACAATATGCTAAAAAAGAAATAAAACATTTAAATATGATGCTAATAAAAAATATATTAATGATAATATTGCAGTATGATAAAAAAATATATAAATAATATGAAATAATATAAAAATTAGGGCTGTCAGTTTAACGTGTTAACTTAATTAGTCATGAAAAAAAAAGGCGATTAAAATATTTTAACGCAGTTAACGCACTGGCCCCGCCCCCAGACCTGTACATCATCTTACATTTCATACAGTTGACTGCTGACAAATATGATGCAGGCTAACAACTCCATAAATGCAGCTATGCCATAAAATTCAAGATATTGGGGCAAAAACAGTTCAGTAAATAAGAAGCAATGATACAGTGTTTCCTTGGTTACCGCTGTAAACAAAGCAGAGCTGCGCTTATGAACAGCAATGATACAGTGTTTCCTTGGTTACCGCTGTAAACAAAGCAGAGCAGCGCTCATGAACAGCAATGATACAGTGGTTCCTTGGTTACCGCTGTAAACAAAGCAGAGCTGCGCTTATGAACGCTGCTAATATGCATCGTTCAGAGGCAAGATGAAAAGAAAATACCACGTAAACATTTCTAAAGACAGTCAGTTCCCCTCAGAGATACAATCATATAAACTCCTACTCCAATTGTATCGCGATTTGTTTGGCATCTCAACTGATTTGAATCGTCACATGCTCTAAACATTTCTAAAGACAGTCAGTTCCCCTCAGAGATACAATCATATAAACTCCTACTCCAATTGTATTGTGATTTGTTTAGCATCTCAACCGATTTGAATCGTCACATATGTGACGGCTCGTGGTTCATCGTTACATCCCTAGTGGTGATTAAGCTTGACACTATCAAACGAGAACAGAGAATAATTGAGCTGAAAAATCACACTATATCGTCTCCTGTAATGTTTAAAGTCCCTAATGGAAGTTTTATAGCTAAACACATTGTTATCTAACTGAAGAACACTGCAGTGCTGACACGTTTCTCTTTCTGATTATTACTGTGCAGCTGCTGTATGAAACCCTGTGTAAAGCACTGTGTTTGCGGCGCTGATCCGCACCTCGGCCCAGAGACTGCAGCAGGTTCTGCACCACCTCCTCCAGCCCCAGCAGGTAGATGAACTCGTTACTGGCTGCTGACGGCACGAAGGTGAGCTGCGGCGAGGACGGTTTGGGCGGAGGGATCTCCAGCAGTGTCTTCTCCAGCTGTTTGCGCAGCGCTAGTTTAGCCGCCTGACCAGCGTTCGACACGCCTGACCCAGACTTCAGGTTTGAGCCGGCAGCCTGCGGGACACAGTCAGTGAGTAAGGGATATATGAGACCCTGCAGCACAAAAGCAGTCATAAGCAGCACAGGTATATTTGTAGCAATAGCCAACAATACATTGTATGGGTCAAAATTATACATTTTTCTTTTATGCCAAAAATCATTAGGATATTAAGTAAAGATCATGTTCCATGAAGATATTTTATAAATGTCCTACCGTAAATATATCAAAACTTAATTTTTGATTAGTAATATGCATTGCTAAGAACTGATTATGTGGAACACCTAGTAAACGGATATTTAATAAAATGCCACGATTATCTTGTCATAATTATCATAATTACAAGATGGCATCTAAGAAATTCAACTAATAATGAATACCATACTAATAAGCAAAAATTACACTCGTTTCATTTTAGTTATTGCTGAATAGTGTTGAACTTTCTTCTCCTGCGTCATATTCTTCATGAGATGTGTTTGAGCGTCGCCCTCTACTGTACAGACGTGAATTTACATTTCCTTCAGCCTGAGGTGTATTCGTTTCACTTTTATTGTGAAAGGGCTTTTACGTTTGTAAAATAACTTTTTTATATTAAAAACAAACAAGCAAGCCCTGCCCAGACTTAAAAAGTAACTCAAAAGTAACTTAATGCATTACTTTCCATAAAAAGTAACGTAGTTAGTTACTTTTTTTAGGGAGTAACGCAATATTGTAATGCATTACTTTTAAAAGTACCTTTCCCCAACACCGTTCGTGAGCATTTAAGTGTGCAGTTAAAAACTAGCCTAGAGCGCCATCTGCTGTTAAAATCTAAGCTCAGAATCAATTCCAGAGGAATCGCGATGCATTCGGAAGATCTCAGAATCCATCTACGAATCGATTCTGCATCGATTTATCGTCCCAGCCCTATTAGTAAACTGAATCAACATTTTCACTGACAAGAAGGCTTTTTTTGACTTAAATAGTTTGATAGAATATATTTAAGGAGTCCCAACTTAGATGTTAACCTTTTAAAGATGTCTGTCAAAAATGCATCCTAGCCACCAGATAGCAATGCACATCTGTTTTTGGTAACAGGTTTCAGGACAGGGCCTGGTCAGACCCCAATGACTGCTCGAGGACCAGACAGCCATTTGTCCTGTCCAATCCTTACAATTTTTCCCTCGATATTCGCATTCCTGGGGTGATTCCAACAGAGGTAAGATGCATCTTCTTTGTGATTTGCACATTTCTTTATAGGGCCATGAAACCCCCTACTTCATCACCAGTTAGTTCTCACCACAGTTTTGAAAAATGCTATGAAAGTGTGCGTGGGAAGCTGTGGAGACGACAGCGGCTTCTGTTTGATTTCACTCTCATTGAGTTAAAAGCATCACAGGTTCCCATAAACCCATGCTGCACTTCATCATTCCCTGCATCAAAATGAACATATTATGCATGCTTTGGTAAGAACACTGTGCAAACACACACATCCTGTGACAGCTATAATTTAATACAGAAAACAAATGCACAGCCGGTTACATTTGTACTTTGCATGGAAAATCTATATGAGTGTGCTGTTGCTTATTTAATAACTGAGACTGTTATTTTGTGGTGTTTATTCATTGCTTTTGAACGGTTATATCGAGCTGAAAAAACTGTATGGATCATGTTTGTGTTGGATCCTCAGGGTCTGTGGAAGAGATTTTATGCCAAAAACTCCTACAAATGAAAACAAACACTCACTTGCAATCCATAACACGTCTCTCAACTACTAAGAGAAACATATTCTCATAGGAAAATGACATGCAATCTCATGAATAATAATGAGACACAGATGAGTCATCAATGTACTATAGAGATAATGAATATTTTAAACCCATAAGACCAAAATTAACTAGTTTTCTCTAAAATGAATTGATTTTGACATTGATGTGCAGGGCCCCTTTTAACATCTTGGAAAATGTAGTTTAGTGTTTCATGAACCTTTAAAAAGCAGATAAGTATTGTAGTGCAGTAATGTTTAAAATATTGTAAAATATAAGTGTTTAAGCACATTTGTGATGTTTTATTTGATCTTCAGTGGTCTCCAGATGCATAATGTCTTGGTATTAACAGTTTTTCTGCAGCGCTAAGGTCTAGACTGCATCTCTTCACACTTTGTAATTATGAGAGCTGTACTCATAGCTGCAGATTTAAGCTTTGTGTGTGTGTGTGTGTGTGTGTGTGTGTG